CTGGTACAAAAATAGATACAAAGACCATTGGAATAGAATCGAGATCTCAGAAATAAGACTGCACATCTACAATTGCCTGATCTTTGACAAACTTGATAAAAACAAGTAATGGGGAAATGATTACCAATTTAATAAATGTATTAGGAAAACTGTCTAGCCATATGCAGAAAATGGAAACTGGACCCTTTTCTTATACCTCATATAAAAATTAACTCAAGGTGGATTTTAAAGACTTAAATATAAAACCTAAAACTATAAAAACCCTAGAGAAAAATATAGACAATACCATTTAGGACATAAACACAGGCAAAGATTTCATGATGACAATGTTGAAAGCAATTGCAATGAAAGCAAAAATTGACAAGTGTGACCTAATTAAACTGAAGAGCTTCTCTCCAGCAAAGAAAACTGTCATCAGCCAGGCATGGTGGCTCATGCCTGTAATACCAACACTTCGGGAGGCCAAGGAGGGTGGATCACCTGAGGTCAGGAGTTCAAGACCAGCCTGGCCAACATGGTGAAACCCTGTCTCTACTAAAATTACAAAAATTAGCCAGGCATGGTGGTGGGCACCTGTAATCCCAGCTACTTGGGAGGCTGAGGCAGGAGAATTGGCTGAACCCAGGAGGCAGAAGTTGCCGTGAGCCGAGATCATGCCACTTCACTCCAGCAGGTGACACAGTGAGACTCTGTCAAAAAAAAAAAAAAAAAAAAAAAAGGAAAAGAAAAGAAAGAAAAAAAAAAGAAACTATCATCAGAGTGAATGACAACCTACAGAACGGGAGAAAATTTTTGTAATTTATCCATCTGACAAAAATCTAATATCCAGAATCTACAAGGAACTTAAACAAATTTACAAGAAAAAAACAAGCAACCTCATTAAAAAGTGGACAAAGGACATAAACAGACATTTCTCAAAAGAAGACATTTATGTGGCCAACAAACATATGAAAAAAAGCTCGATATCACTGACCATTAGAGAAATGCAAATTAAAAGCACAATGAGATACCATAGCACACCTGTCAGAACAGCTATCACTAAAAAGTCAAGAAACAACAGATGTTGGTGAGGCAGTGGAGAAACAGGAACACTTTTATACTCTTGATGGGAATGTAAATTAATTCAGCCATTGTGAAAGACAGTATGGTGATTCCTCAGAGACCTAGAACCAGAAATACCATTTGACCCAGCAGTCCCATTACTGGGTACATACCCTAAGAAATATAAATTATTTTTATTAACAGATACATGCACATGTATGTTCATGGCCTCGCTATTCACAATAGCAAAGACATGGAATTAACCTAAATGCCTATCAATGATAGACTGGATAAAGAAAATGTTGTACATATATACCATGGAATACTATGCTGCCATAAGAAGGAATGGGATCATGTCCTTTGCAGGGATATGGATGGAGCTGGAAGCCATTATCCTAAGAAAACCAGCACAGAAACAGAAAATCAAACATTGAGTGTTTTTACTTATAAGCGGGAGCTGAACAATGAGAACACAGGGAGGGGAACAACACACAGTGGGGCCTGTCACGGTAGGTGGGGGGCCGCGGGAGGAAAGCATCAGGATAACAGCAAATGCATGCAGGGCTTAATACCTAGGTGATGGGTTGATAGGTGCAGCAAACCACCATGGAACACATTTACTTGTGTAACAAACATGCATGTCCTGCACATGTACCCCAGAACTTAAAATTAAAGTTAATTTATTTAAAAAAAAGAAAACAGTGGCTATTGAATTAGCTTGGGCATACTCCATAAACACACATTTTATGTCATTCCTTTAATTGCTTTATGACGTTGAGTCAAGTTACATGTCCTGATTCAGAGGTTCCTACTAAAATGTCTTGTGGTCAAACAAAAGGAGGAATTTTGATAACAGATGTGTTGGCCCGTTACTAGAGCTGATTCTGTCAGATCTTACCAGTGATCATGCTTTCTATAGCATATGTGATTAAATGAATAATGGCAAGAAAAGAAATGTTCCCTCTGACTCTTAGGAATTTTGTTTTGAAAAGTGAAATTTCAAATTATTTTCTTGATTTCTATGAAGACTTCAATGAGACTACAGAAAATACAAAAGATTGTTATCTTGTCCAAATAAAACCAGATTTTGCTCATCTATCTACAGATTCAGCACTGTACAAATGTAAGTTTTGTAAAATTCCACTGTCTGTAAATTTATTAACAAAGAAAGCAATAAGCTCCCACCTGCTAAATGTCCTACATGCCTTGTACACAACATTATTGAAAAGAGGGAGGAGGAGTGGCATACTTACCTGTAATATTGAGGCTTTCATCATAAAAACCTCAATACTTTTCAATTTCCTCAAAATGTAGAGAAACATGTCATGAGACTTTTTACTTTAGAGAAAAGAACAGGAGTTTGCTTCTTTAGACAGGGACCTACAAGATGTATGTCATTGTTGCCAGCTGTAAAAAGATGTTAAAATATTAGCCTGCCATAAATTATATTTCCAAAGTGTGGGAGAAGAAGAATGTCCTTCTCTAATTTGAAAATGCATTGAGGGTGAGGATGGAGAAAAATATTTATAGTAAAACATTAACTTATATGTTGTCTCTTCAAAACCAATGACCTTTGAAGAGGTGATAGCAAAGGATGAACTGACTGCCATTACTGCTCAAAGCTGTTGAGATTGCAACAACATCGTATTTTTTTTCATACAGTGAAAAAAAGTGACTCCTTTCATTAAAAATAAGATTTTTTAGGCCAGGTGCAGTGACTCATGCCTGTAATCCCAGTACTTTGGGAGGCCGAGGCAGGCGGATCATCTGAGGTTGGGAGTTCAAGACCAGCCTGACCATCATGGAGAAACCCCGTCTCTGCTAAAAACATAAAATGAGCCAGGTGTGGTGGAACATACCTGTAATTCCAGGAACTCGGGAGGCTGAGGCAGAACTGCTTGAGCCTGGGAGGCATAGGTTGCAGTAAGCCAAGATCGCGCCATTGCACTCCAGCAAAACTCCATCTCAAAAAATAAATAAACAAAATAAGTTTTCTTTAGAACTCAAAAAAGGGTAGCCAAGTTAAACAGAGCTTTCTCATTTCTTTACTAAAACTATACCTTATTTGGAATTCATCTTCAATTTTACAAATTAAAATTACCTCTATTCTTTAAAATCAATTTTTTCCAGATAAAGAGAGGTTTAACTTATGATAATGTCCAATGTGCTTAAGAATGTTTAAAACTGATGGACAATTTAGACATGGATAAGCTATATGATTAACTTCTAGATGCAAAAAACCTGACTGATAAGCAGCTGGTCTACCAAAAAAGTCTGTAGACACAAAATGAATAGACAAATCTGACAAGTCTAAAAATCTGTTGTTGCTAGTGAGTGAAATCCCAAGGTATTCAATGCTAAAATTCTTTTTTTGAGAATGTATTTACATCAACGTCATCACAGTAGCTTGACACCACGAATCAGTGTATTTGTGGGCTTGATAAGAGCAGTGGTGCAAGGCAAAGTGAATTTTGCATTTGACTGTTATTCACTCTTACCACTACATGTTTAATTAGTATGGACCATAAAATACACACTAATACAGTCTTAAATCGATTACTATCAAATAAAGAGATGACAAGAATTAAAATAAATCACTGTTTCAGAGGAAAGAAATATTATAAAATATTGTTAAATCCTCCTCACACATGATTTTTTTAAATTAGTCCAACTATTAATTACTACTAATTGCCATTGTTAACTAGTTACGTTATTTTGGCTTAAATGACAGCAATTATATATCAGAAAAGTAAGTAATACAAAATTTAATACAATTTCAAAGATATGCCCATTTAAATATGTTTATGTTGAAATTGTAACACACAACTTATTTATTCTATGTTATTTATGGCTGTGTCCCAGGTTGTATCTCTAAAAAGTTGTTCAACCCACTTCTCCCCCAGCCCAATCCTGTTCCCTCACCCACCCAGTGTTCTCAACAGCACTGCCCACTAAACCTTCTTCACACGACTCCCAGTCCACTGCTGTCTGATTCCAGGAAACCTAATGACAATAACCTACACAGAAATAGTTTCCTCCTTCATTAACTTACAGTCTAGCAGGAACAAAAAGCATCAAACATGTAATTACAAAAAACAGTCTGTAGAGAGGAAGGATTGGAATGCATAGAGGACTAGAGAAAATACAACTGGGATAGCCAATCTGGCTGGGAAGGCATCCCTGAGGAAGTCACAGCTAGTCAGTCCCCTGGAGGATGAAAGGAGAACCACTTGCAAGCCCAGGTTTCTGGCATTGGAATAAGTCAGGCTGCAAACTATTTGACTACCACAGAACAGATCAGGCTGATGGCCTATTTTGTGTGGCCCCTACGATGTTTTAGACAATGTTTTACAAAATCTTAGTCAAAAGGTAGTCTTTTTTTTAATCAAGACTTTTTTTTTACCTAACAGTTGGATTTCTGGCCTTTTTGGAAAAATGAGAAATTTAGCAAGACTGGATCTAAATCCCACACTACAACCATCAACAAGACATGAGTAGCCACTGCCCCGTTTTCCGGTTCACATCATCCACAACATTCCCAACTCCTGTCCTGCACTGAGACTGAGTGTTACATGCCAGACATCTTCTTAAGTGCATGCTGTGGTGCATAGTAGAATCATGCTCCCTATCAAAGTGAGAAAACAAGAGGACTGGGTGGCCATTTTCATTCAACCCATTTTACCCATTTGAGTTTGAGTTTGTAGTGTCCATCATAGATATACTCAGATAGATAGATATAGATATAATCTTTTATTGAGACAGGTCTCACTCTGTTGTCCAGGCTAGAGTGCAGTGGTGCTGTCACAGTCCCTGCAGCCTCAGTCTCTGGGCTCAAGTGATCTTCCCACTCAGCCTCCCAAGTAGGTGGGACCAGGTGTAAACACCACATCTGGCTAATATTTTTTTTGGTAGAGTTGGGGTCTCACTATATTGTCCAGGCTGGTCTCAAACTCCTGGGCTCAAGTGATCCTCCCACCTCGGCCTTCTAAAGTGCCCAGATTATAGGCGTCAGCCACCATGCCTGGCCAAAACAAAGGTTTCTACATTTCAAAAGTACAGGGCATTTTTGCAGAAGAGCTATAGTTCAGAATTCTAACATCTCTGTCTCCTAACCACCTGCCTTATAGTATTTCTAAAGTCAATACTTTTCTCAGTATATTTGACCTGGCTGATCTTTTGCCAAGGTAGAGGCCTCCAGTTGGAACTGCCATTCTCCAAGCCTTATCATTTATTTCATTCAGTCCATGTCCCTGAAAGCCATGGGGTGGTAAAACAATCCAATGAAGTGCAGGAAGAAAATGTTAGCACTACTTTTTATGTTCATTTTTATCTTATAAGAAGAAATAAAATAAGATGTATAAACATTTAAATTTAGCTTGGTGTGATATCTTTGCTCCTTCCATGTGCCAGGCTGATATGGATCTAAGCTAGGTATCCTATCTCACTTTTTCAACTTCAGTACATTGTGGTATGTTGCAGTTTACATTTGCCAAGTTGGTGAAGTGATTGCTCAAAGTTCAATTTAGTGGTAAAAATGGGACCATAATCAAAATCTCAGATGACTATATCCAAATATACTGTATTGAGTCTTTCCAGTTTGGGGATCCATGCCACTTTCTCCCAGTTCTTTCAAGGGTTGTAGCTTTTTCTCCCTTAGGAAGCTGTCGCAACTTTGTTCTTCCCAGTAAATAGCATCATCTTCCAGTCTTTCACTAGTTAAGAAAGACTTTCCTTAAATATAGCAATCCCTCTGGGAATTGGCCTTTCACCTCTCTGACCAGCTTGGATAAGATTCTGTGTAAAGTCATCTCCTTTCTATTCTTAAGAAAGTAGCTATCACCTCTCGTTTTTGCTTTGAGTTCACACAGAACTGAGTTTAGCTCCTTATTTCACTACATGTTCTTGGTCAAGTTATTTAACCTCGCAAAGCCTCTGCTATCTTATCTAAAAACTAAATTTTTCAAGGTGGTTGGGGGGTTATGTAAAGTATCTAGCACTTTATAGACTACATCATCAACAACAAAATAAGTCTCATAGCAAGGCAAGACTTACCTGCTATGGTATTCTAATGTCACTTTTATTTAGTCTTGGACATTTACCTTGTTCCCGGAATAATTATTAGAGAGAGAGAGACTGGCTTTAACTGAACCCAAATAACACAAAAATACTTACAAATATCCAGCTTTTACCTGGTTGGCCATTAAAAGATAACAAGAGCTCAGAATGAATCTTTCTGTGGCTCACTAGATTCTAAAAGCATTAAAATACAGTATTAAATTTTTTGCTTCTGGTTCCCACCTGCTCAGCTTGCATCTTATTTTCTTGACAACAGGTTTAAAAGAAAGACAGCAATGAGCAATGGAATGTCTGGGACAGATTTTCGGACACAGGAGATAAACTTGCACGTATATCGGCCTGCGTCTCATTCTGATCTCCACAGTAAAAGTACATTCCTTTGGTTTATCCTCACTCGATCTTTTCCATTTCCCCACTGAGGACTGATCAGACCTACTTCAGCCATACCCTCGACAGCGAAATGAATTCCACCGTCCTTTTCAGTGAGGTGTCATTTGTCAACTGGAATAAGGACTTCAATTGTAAGGAGGAAGCCCTTAATATTGATAGACAACCTCCGGCTATCAACACCTCACTCTTGCCCTGTGCCAGATACCCACTGCCCAGCTAGCTAGGTGTCAGAGGTAGCATTCCTCTTGGAGGATTCAATACCCTCCTTGGCGATCCCTTGACTCTGTTTGATGACTTTCATTATTTATCTCTGGATTTTGAGGAAATTGAGAGTTTTAAGCTTACTGGGGGTAGGGGTGGAGGAGCAACTAATTGGATGCTGCTCAGCGGTAACAAAGAAATGGATTGAGTATCACCTTATTTGTTTCAATGCCTGCTACTCCACAACATACTGTACCCTCTGGTTGGGTTTGCTGACTTCCTGGACCTCATTCACACTTTTACTTGTTAAAATAACAGTTGCAAAGCAAATACTGAAGTTCACACACAGTCACAGACACACACATACACACACACACCACACACACACACACAATGAAATGATAGAACATTGTTAATATTCTTAGAAACTCATTCTCTGCCCTTCTCTTCACTTCTTTTCTCTTCCCCAGAAGTAATTACTGTCCTAACTTTTGTGATAATCATTATTAATAGTTTTTATTATTTACATGTTATTCCTTAACAACGTAGCTTGATTTTGCATTTGAATTTTATAGAAGTAGAATAATATCATTTTTCCCCTGTGATGTGTATATTTCACTCCATATTCTGTTTGTGAGATTTCTCACATTGACATGCAGGCATAATTAGTAAATCTTCTCTGCTGTATAGTAATCCATTGTATCACTTTACTATTTTGCAATTTCTTGTGTCTATCTTACTGCTGGTGGACACGTTTTTCTCCATGTGCACTTTGCTCTATTAGTCCCAGCCTAGAAAACTCTTTTCTTTCCCCCATGTATTCAGTTCTCCTCAAATACTGACTATTGCTCTTTCTGATTATTCCTAATGTCTAGTTCACAGTCCATTTTCTGAATTGCTAATGCATACATTGATTAATCAGTCAAATACTTTGAGTATTTAGTTCTACAAATTTAGGCTCAATACTCCAGTTTAATATTCAGTATAACTCACAAATCTTTTCTTTTACCAACACTGTCACTATAATAGTGTTCAATTAGTATTTGTTAATCTTTGGTTGAGAATAATAACAATAACGATAATAATAATAGTAGTAGCAGTAATAGCTAACACTTATTGCATACTTATCATGTGCCAGGCACTGTCTATCTAGAGCTTTAGAAGTGTTAATTTATTTAATCCTTATAAGGATACTATGAAATAGGTAATACTACATTTATCCTCATTTTACAGACAAGAAAACTAAGGCCAGAGAAATTATATAATGTGCTCAAAGTCATACAGTTAGTAAATGTTAAAATAGAAGGGATGATAGAAACTTAAATATGGTCAACTCCATTACTCTGTAGCGATTTTAGAAATGTATAATTATAAATAATAACGGCCAATACTAACAACTATTTCTTGTTCTGTATTCCCAAATACTGAATTCAATCTATTATGTGATCTTAATTCTCACCCAAAATTTATGATGAGTGTTATTTTTCCAATTTAAAAGTGAAGAAAATGAGGCTCATAGGGATTGAGTAATTTATCTAAATAGCTGGTAAGTGACAGGCTGGGATTTGAACCTAAATACTGTATTTCCAATCCTAACATCTGTGCCCTGCTGTAATACCATGCTGCCTCTCTGTAGGTTCACCAGCGCTGTGATGTTGATGCTTTTCCTTGTTAAATTCTAATTTCTTTTCTTTATTACTTCTCATTACAGGATATGATGGGAAACGAATGCTAAGAAGTTTGATTTTTCAAATTGCAATGACGTTCAGAAAAAAAAAGTCATCACTGGTTGAAGTGACAGCAGAGGATGCACCATGGGAATTTTTTTATCCATATTATCCTGTTCTCTGTGTCACCGTAAGTGACTGGATATAGCACAGAAAGAAAAATAGAATGTGGCTAATAGCCCTGTTCAGAAAACTCATTGGCAAATATCAAGACATTCTCTTCTCCCATCAGTCCTTCAGATGACTCACTTCTTATTTCCTGAGTAGAAGGTATCAATTAGATCTCTCTCTGTTCTCTCTGCCACTACATTCATTGCTCTAACTATTGAAAGCGAACAATATTTTTTGAACCATTGTGTGGTAAGTACAATTACAATCACAATTCAATATTATTTTCATAGTTTATAACATAATAATTAAAATCTTATACTTTTAGTAAGAACGATCAAATGTAGCTAAATCTTAGCCCACAAAATGGTACATACCTGGTTTTTGTTTTGTTTTGTTGCTTATATTACTGCAAAGTAATTTGTAAGCTGAGAGAATCGAGGTGCCACTTGACAAGCTCCTTTATGAATCATCTGTGAAGTTTAAAAGTTAATATTAAAAAAAAAGTCTCCACAGAAATGACCAGAGGATGGTACAAGTTTAAAAATCTAGAGATATAGATGCACTTTTTTCTATTTACTTTAATTTCTAAACAGTAAAATTTACTCTTTTTGGTGAACGGTTCTATGGGTTTTGACAAAAGCATGGAGTTGTTTCTGTACCAACACAAACAATACACAAAAATGGTTTCATCAACCCCACCCCAAATTCCTCGAGTTATACTTCTGGGCTCCTGGCTACCACGGGTCAGTTCTCATTCCCTATTGTTTCACTTCTCCAGAATATCATATAGATGGAATTGCATGGAATATCATGTTTTGAATCTGGTTTAATCTCAGCATAATGAATTTGAGATTAATTCATGTTGATGTGTTTTATTGATGAGTAAAATTGGTATATGGTACATTGCATGGATGTACCACCGCTTGTTTATCCATTCTCCAGGTGAGAGACATTCATATTATTTGCAGTTTTTGGTGAGTAGGAACATTTATAAAACATTCACATACAGTTTTTTAGGTAAATGTCAGTGTTTTTGTCACTTAGTTAAATGACTATGAGTGGAATGATGGATTGTAATGTGTAAATGTATGTTTAATTTTATAAGTAATTGCTAAACTGTTTTCCCAGGGTACTAGTTTGCATTATCATAGCTATGTATAAGACATCCACTTGCTCCATACCCTTCCAGTGCACATGGAATGGCCAGTCTCTGATTTCAGCCATTTCAATCTATAAGTAGTGATGCTATATTGCAGTTTTAATTTGCATAGCCCTAATGACCAATTATGTTGAACATATTTTCATGTGTTTATTTGTCATCTGTTTACCTTCTTTGATGAACTGTCTGTTCAAATCTTTTGGCCATTTAAAAATCGGATTGTTTTCTTGTTTTTGAGTTTTAAGAGTTCATATATATTCTGGATCCAAAGTCTTTGTCAGATATGAGATTTTCAAAATAATTTCTCCATCTCTATGGCTTGTGTTTTCCTTTTCTTAACAGTGTCATTTACACTGTAAAAATGTTTAATATTGGTGAAGCTCAATGTCAATTTTTTAATGAATGGTTATTTCTTTGTATTGTGTCTGGAATTTTCACCCAAATTTAAAATTAGGACACAACGATTTTCTCCTATGTTTTCTTCCAAAATGTTAATAATTTTGTCTTTTACATATATGTGTATGGTACAATTTAAGGTAAAATGGATATCAAGCATTGGATATAGGTCAAGGTGAATTATTTTGGCATATACATGGCTGAGTGTTAGAATGGACTTGCTGAAAAGATTATTTTTCAGACCTCATCCAGCTAAAACAAAAATTATTTTTTTGCCTTAACATCTTTGGCAAAAATCATTTTACCGTATATGTATGGGTCTATATTTAGACTCTCTTCAGTTCTATTGATCTATTTACATGTTCTTTCATAAATACCACAGTCTTGAGCATTGCAGCTTTAAAGAAAGCTTTGAAATCAGGTAGTGTTGGTCCTGCAATACTCTTCTTCTCTTTTTCTTGCTCTGTCACCAGGCTGGAGTGCAGTGTCACAATCATGGCTCACTCCACCTCCCCGATTCAAGTGATTCTGCTGCCTCAGCCCCCTGAGTGGTTGGGACTATGGGCATGCACCACCATACCCAGCCTATTTTTGTATTTTTAGTAGAGATGGGGTTTCATCATGTTGGCCAGGATGGTCTCTATCTCTGGATCTCGTGATCTGCCCACCTCAGCCTCCCAAAGTGCAACATTATTCTTCTTAAAAATTGTTTGTCTATTCTAGATCCTTTGCCTTTCCATATACATTTTAAAATTAGTTTGTCAAGATCTGCAAAATGTTATGATAGAATATAGATTAGAATTGCATTGAATTTATAAATCAATTTGGAAAGCATTGACATCTTAATATTCAATTTTTAAATCCATAAACACAGGATATATATTTAGGCCTTCTTTGAATTCTTTCACAAATAATTCATAGTTTTCAGCATATAGATGCTGCATATATTTTGCTAGACTTATACCTAAGCATTTTTTTGGTTTGGTTTTCAGTGTTATTGTATTTTGTTTTGTTTTCAGTGTTATTGTAAATGATACATTTAAGTTTTTTAAATTTCTAATCCTTCATTGATAGTATATAGAAGTAAAATGGATTTTTATATATTGACCTAGTATCTTACAACTTGATAAACTCATTTAAATAAGTACAGTTAGGTTTATTCCTTTCTAGCCTGTACACATTTTATTTCTTTTTCCTGTCTTCTTGTATTGACAAAGACATCCACAAAAATCTTGAATAAGGGTTACGTCAGCAGATATTGTTACTTCTTCTCAACCTTAGAGGAAAAGCATTCAGTTGTTTGCCATTATTATGTTAGCTGTAGTATTAGTATTTGCCATTTATCAAGTTAAGGAAGTTTCCTGCTATTCCTAGTTTGTTGTGAAATTTTATAATGAATTGGTGTTGAATGTTCCAAGTGCTCTTCGTATAACTACCAAGAAGATTATATGGTTTTCATTTTTCACTCTGTGAATTATATTGATTGAATATTGCATGTTGAAATGGCCATACACTCCTGAAATAAACCCTAGTTGGTCATATATTATCCTTCTGTATGTTGCTGGATTTGTTAATATACTGTTGAGGATTTTTGAGATAAGCTTCATGAGAGACACTGGTCTGTTGTGTCCTCTTGTAATGTTTTTGTCTGGCTTTGGTATTTGACAAGAAATAACTAATTGATCAGAGCACAACTGAAGGAGATGGAGACACAAAAAACCCTTCAAAAAAATCAATAAATCCAGGAGCTGATTTTTTGAAAAGATCAACAAAATAGATAGACTGCTAGCCAGACTAATAAAGAAGAAAAGAGAGAAAAATCAAATAGACACAATAAAAAAAAAGATAAAGGGGATATCACCACTGATCCCACAGAAATACAAACTATCATCAGAGAATACTATAAACACCTCTACACAAATAAACTAGAAAACCTAGAAGAAATGGATAAATTCCTAGACACATAAACCAGGAAGAAGCTGATTCCCTGAATACACCAACAACAAGTTCTAAAATTGAGACAATAATTAACAGCTTATCAGCCAAAAAAAAGCCCAGGACCAGAAGGATTCAGAGCAGAATTCTACCAGAGGCACAAAGAGGAGCTGGTATCGTTCCTTCTGAAACTATTCCAAACAATAGAAAAAGAGGGACTCCTACCTGACTCATTTGATGAGGCACCATCATTCTGACACCAAAACCTGGCAGAGATACAACAAAAAAAGAAAATTTCAGGGCCAATATCCCAGATGAACATAGATGTAAAAATCCTCAATAAATATAGCAAGTCAAAACCAGCAGCACATCAAAAGTTTATGCACCATGGTCAAGTTGGCTTCATCCCTGTGATGCAGGGCTGGTTCAACATACGCAAATCAATAAATGTAATCCATCACATAAACAGAATCAATGACAAAAACCACATGATTATCTCAATAGATGCAGAAAAGGTCTTTGATAAAATTCAACAGCCCTTCATGCTAAAAACTCTCAATAAAGTAGATACTGATGGAACATATCTCAAAATAATAAGGGCTATTTATGAAAAACCCACAACCAATATCATACTGAAGGGCAAAAGCTGGAAGCATTCCCTTTGAAAACCAGCACAAGATAAGGATGTCCTCTCTCACCACTCCTAAATAGTATTGGAAGTTCTTGTCAGGGCAATCAGGCAAGAGAAAGAAAAAAAGGATATTCAAATAGGAAGAAAGGAAGTCAAATTGTCTCTGTTTGCAGATGACTTGATTGATTATTTAGAAAACCCCATTGTCTCAACCTCAAATCTCCCAAAGCTGATAAGCAATTTCAGCAGAGTCTCAGGATACAAAATCAATGTGCAAAAATCACAATCATTCCTATACACCAATAATAGACAAACAGGGAGCCAACTCATGAGTGAACTCCTATTCACAATTGTTACAAGGAGAATAAAATACCTAGGAATACAACTTACAAGGGATGTGAAGGACCTCTTCAAGGAGAACTACAAACCACTGCTCAAGGAAATAAGAAAAGACACAAACAAATGGAGAACATTCCATGCTAATGAATAGGAAGAATCAATATCATAAAAATGGCCATAATGCCCAAAGTAATTTATAGATTCAGTGCTATCCCCCATCAAGCTACCATTGACTTTCTTCATAGAATTAGAAAAAACGACTTTAAATTTCATATGGAATTTAAAGTCCTAAGCAAGAAGAATAAAGCTGGAAGCATCACACTACCTGACTTCAAACTATACTACAAGGCTACATTAACAAAAACAGCATGGGACCGGTAACAAAACAGATATATAAACCAATGGAACAGAACAAAGGCCTCAGAAATCACGCCACCCATCTACAATCATCTGATCTTTGCAAACCTGACAAAAACAAGCAATGGGGAAAGGATTCCCTATTTAATAAATGGTGTGGAGAAAACTGGCTAGCCATATGCACAAAACTGAAATTAGGCCCCTTCCTTACACCTTATACAAAAATTAACTCCAGAAGGATTAAAGACTTAAATGTAACACCTAAAACCATAAAAACCCTAGAAGAAAACCTAGGCAATACCATTCAGGACATGGGCATGGGCAAAGACTTCATGACTAAAACACCAAAGGAATGGCCACCAAAGCCAAAATTGACAAATGGGACATAATTAAAATAAAATGCTTCTGTATAGCAAAAGAAACTATCATCAGAGTGAACAGGCAACCTACAGAATAGGAGAAATTTTTGCAATCTATCCATCTGAGAAAGGGCTAATATCCAAAATCTACAAAGAACATAAACAAATTTACAAGCAAAAAACAAAGAACCCCATCAAAAAGTGGGCAAAGGATATGAACAGGCACTTCTCAAAAGAAGACATTTATGCAGCCAACAAACACACGAAAAAAAGCTCATCATCACTGGTCATTAGAGAAATGCAAATCGAAACCACAAGGAGATACCATCTCATGCCAGTTACAATGGCAATCATTAAAAAGTCAGGAACCAACTGATATTAGAGAAAATGTGGAGAAATAGGAACGCTGTTACACTGTTGGTGGGAGTGTAAATTAGTTCAGCCATTTTGGAAGACAGTATGGTGATTCCTCAAGGATCTAGAACCAGAAATACCATTTGACCCACCAATCCCATTACTGGGTATATACCCAAAGGATTATAAATTATTCTACTATAAAGACACATGTACATGTATGTTTATTGCAGCACTGTTGATAATAGCAAAAACTTGGAACCAACCCAAATGCCCATCAATGATAGACTGGATAAAGAAAATGTGGCACATAGACACAACGGAATACTATGCAGCCATAAAAATGGATGAGTTCATGTCCTTTGTAGGGACATGGATGAAGCTGGCAATCATCATTCTCAGCAAACTAACATAGGAACAGAAAACCAAACACTGCATGTTCTCACTCATAAGTGGAAGTTGAACAATGAACACATGGACACAGAGAGGAATACATCACACACTGGGGCCTGTTGGAGGGTGGTGGGGCTAGGGGAGGGATAGAATTAGGAAAAAATACCTAATGTAGATTACGGGTTGATCGGTGCAGCAAACCACTATGGCACATGTATACCTATGTAACAAACCTGCACGTTCTGCACATGTATCCCAGAACTTAAAGTCTAATAAATAATAATAACTAATTAATTGAATCAAATTATGGAAATTTCAGGAGGTAATATCAAATGTTTTCTAGATGTCCTTTAAAATTGGTGATTGACTCATACACTCACATTGACTTGAGAAAAATAAAATAGGACTCAAAAAAAAGATTCAAGCATCTAAGCTATTAACATTAAATTGTTTATTTACCCTAGTATGTATGATAAATGCCAAGAGAAATGAGTTAGAAAATGCCCAATGCCCATCTTCTTTCTTGAGGTTCCAAACTTATGACTAAGTTATTTCTGTAAGTCCAGGACCAATTTCTGCTTCCATAATGTTTAAAGCAATACTACTACTATACAGGATTCAAAAAAAGATTGATCTGTATTTTAAGGCATAGCTATAAGTATCCAATTCTGATGTAATAAAATAAAAATGGCAGAATAAAAGAAGTCCTAAGAAATATTTTTTAAACCTCCACTTTTTTTTTAATCAAGATTTTTTACACAGATAGATAGAAATTTACCTGAGGTCCTCTAAAATCAGATTAATTTTTCTATCCTCTTATTACCATTTAAGTATCCTCAAAGTAACTGTATACTGCCCTGTCAAAACACCTTCTCTAACACACCACCTAAAGTTAGGGCAATTAGATATTCCAGCTTAGATGGCAACTTATAATGCCGCTCTGTTTAAAATGAATTTGAATCAAAGCTATCAGTATAAAATCAAACATTCATTAGAACAAGTACTAGCTAAGCAATACTAAATGCATAGCAATTGAGAGACAAAAATAAGTAATGCCTTATGCTTTTAAGAAAATAACACCACGAGATAATGTATATAAATACTATCAACTAACAAGATGAATTTTTTTAAGTTATATTACTTATATTCTTAAAAGAGTATAACTGAAAGAAGAAAGTTTCTTATAAGCTAGTCTTTTAGAAGTATAAGAACCAAAAGCATGTCTGTTTTGGCCCTTACGCTATGCTTGGTACCTACCACAGTGCTTAGAATATAATGGGTACTACATAAATATTTGTCTGCTGACTATAAGCCTAGTGGTTAAGCACATGGGCTTGGAAGTGAGACAGATGTGGGTCAAAATCCTGCCTCATCCAGGTAGATAGGTACTAAGACTTTCGTTAAAGGCAATTTATCCAGTTTATTCTAACTTTTAAGTAATAAGACATGAATTCAAAAGACTTCTATTTCTGAAAATCAAATCTATTCTAAAAAGTTAAAATTACCACCAATGAAAATTGTGAAAGGTTATGTATTAGGCTTTGAAGGCAGGTCATAAAGGAGAGTTTCAGTGGAGCATGTTATATAAACAATTATCTGTACGAAAGGACACTTCAAAGAGGACGATACTTTGGGATGCGTAAACTCCAGCATATTTGTTTAAATTCAGTTTCAGTCACTAATGGCAGAAGACTAAATTTAATAAAAAGTGGAATTATGTATCAAAAGCCTTATAAATGTTTTTCATTAATTCAACCTCTGAGAATCTATTCTAAATCAAAATCCAGAGAAATTCATTGAATTTCTTGAAACAATTAAAATGAAAGGAAGAACCCAATGTCTAACTATAGAAAAATTATAGTAAATTATACTACATCAATGTCATTTACTATAATTATGAGAAGTTTTTACAAGGAAAACCGTTTTGTTACATTGTAAAACCAGAAGCATAAAAAAAATTACATAGTAGTCATTCGACTATATAAAAACCTGTGTAAACCAAAACCAAAACAAAAAAAATTAAAAAAAGATTTAAAAAAAACAACCTATGTAGAAATTGTACTGAAACTTTCTCAACTTTTCCAAAAACAGATTTTCAGATGAGATAAAAATAAGAGACTAATTCTTCAGGTAAGAGGAGCAAATAAAAAACTACAAACTAGTTTAAAGTTAACAGACGGTTTAAAATATATTAGGTAAACAAAATAAATGTTAAGACATTAATTTAATAAAAAGGAGAATTCAAGGAAGAAAGCACTAAATAGAAAAAAGATACACACACACGTTTCTCAGAGGGAAAAGGATAAGAAAAGCTATTGCAATTATTAAACAGAATATGTTATTAAAAATGATAAAAATATGAAAAAGCACTTAAAATTTAAAGCAAAAATAAATGATAAAATGAAAAATTCAAACAAAAGGTCAAAGGCAAAGTTGAGACTTGCAGTTGCTTCCCTGACATTAAAGATGTTGGAGGTCATCTCAGTTATCTTCACAAGAGAAGAGCTGAACAAACTGAAAATCAATGACTTTTCTTAGATCCCTCAAAGAATTGAAGCCATAGGACAAACCACCATCCTAAAAAAACTGGAGAGGCCGGGCGCAGTGGCTCACGCCTGTAATCCCAGTACTTTGGGAAGCCGAGGCGGGTGGATCACAAGGTCAAGAGATCGAGACCATCCTGGTCAACATGGTGAAACCCCGTCTCTACTAAAAATACAAAAAATCAGCTGGGCGTGGTGGCGCATGCCTGTAATCCCAGTTACTCAGGAGGCTGAGGCAGGAGAATTGCTTGAACCCAGGAGGCAGAGGTTGCAGTAAGCCAAGATTGCTG